GGGTGAGTCTCCGCCACCGTTATGCACCTCATGCACTTGCCTCTTTCAGCGCAGCGCGCTGCTGAGTTGAATCGATGTTCTGGTTTAGCCCTCGCCGCCCCTGGCTTTTGTGTTTCTTTCAACGCCCTTGTGCTTCCATTTTGTATGCTTGCTGTTCCTCTTCTTGATGCTCTCTTCTGATTTCACTGCTGAGTGCTCTTCTTGTGCACAGGTGGCCCTTCAGAATGCCAGTCAGCAATGAGGGGTCCTGAATATAAATGGCACGTGTATAAAAAGGGTTGGGTACGTCGCAGGGTAATCATTATTATTATTATTATTATTATTATTATTATTATTATTATGGTATTGTGATTCTGGTGATGATGACACGGAAGAGAGGAGGATGAGGATGAGGAGGAGGAGGAACAGGAGGAGCCCGACCCGACCCCGACCCGCCTGTTCGGGTCCGCCCGCCCGACCCGACCCGTCCTGTCCGTTAGGGTCTGCCCGCCCGCCCGACCCGACCCGCCCGTTAGGATACTTGCGTCCCACCTCGATGATGCATCATACTTTAATGTCCCGCCCGCATGGCCCGACCCGCCCGTTAGGGTACCTGGGTGCCAGCTCGATGATACGCAATTTGTTCATGTCCCGCCCACCGACCCGACCCGACCCGCCCGTTAGGGTCCCGCCCGACCGATTCGAGCCCCCCGGTAGGGTCCGCCCGCCTGACCGGTCCCTCATCCCTCCTCCCCTCTCTCATCACTCATCTATGCTACTTCTTCTCATCCCTCCTCCCTCCCTCCCTCATCCCTCCAACTCTGGGCTCAGAGATGTCCGTACTTGACGTGATCCGATTTGGGAGGGCGCGCCGCTGGATGGCCCCAAGCGGGGTAGGGTTGGGACCCCCCTTCCCCTTTCCCCGATCCGTCGTCGGGGACCCCCCCCCCTTCTCCCCCCCTTTGCCGATCCGTCGTCGGGGAATCCCCCCCCCTCCCCCCCTTTCCCGGTCCGTCGTCGGGGAACCCCCCCCCCCCTCCTCCCTTTTAAAAGGGGGGGGGCGGGGTTCTGAACCACCTCCCCCTCCCATCTTTTGGCCGCCAAATCCGACCCCCCCCTCCTATCTCCCCCTTTCGCCACGGCGCCCCTGGGCTCTGGAACCCGACCCCTACCACCTCTAAACCTCATCCTCACCCTTACCCTAACCCCGAACCCTAGCCCCAAACCCTAACCCTAGCCCAGAACAGTACTCACTACTCATTACGCACAACTCACTACCCACTACTCACTACTCGCTACTCACTACTCACTTCTCACTACTCACTGCTCACTACTCACGACTCCCTACTCACTACCCATTACTCACTACCCACTACCCACTCCTCACTACTCCCTATTCCCTACTCACTACCCACTAGTCACTACTGAGTACTCACTACTCACTACGCAGTACTCACTACCCACCAAACATAACCCACTACCCACTACTCACTACTCACTAATCACTACTCACTACCCACCAACCACTATCCACTACTCACTACTCACTACTCACACTTCACTACTCACTGCTCACTGCCCACAACTCACTACTCACCATCCACTACTCTCTACTCGCTTATCCTTACTCCCTTCACAGTACTCACTACCCACTACTCACTACTCACTACTCGCAACTCTCTACACCCTACTCTCTACCCAATACGCACTATTCACTGGCCATTACGCACTACTCACTACGCACTACTCACTACTCACTACTCCCTACTCCCTACGTATTAGGCACTAGTCACTTGTCACTACTCACTACTCTCTACTCACTATTCACTACCCACTACTCACGACCCACCATTCACTATTCACTATTCTCTTCTCGCTACTCACTACTCACTACCCACTACTAGCTACCCACTCCTCCCTTCCCACTACTCACTACTCACTACTCCCTACTGAATACTCTCTACTACTACTACTACTACTACTACTACTACTACTACTACTACTACTACTACTATCACTACTACTACTACTGCTACTCCTACTGCTAGTACTACTACTACTACTACTACTACTTCTACTACTACTTCTACTACTACTACTACTACTACTACTTTTACTACTACTACTACTGCTCACTACTCACTACTCGCTACTCCCTACTCGCTACTCGCCACTCCCTACTCACTACTCACTACTGACTGCTCGCTCCTCACTACTCACAACTCACAACGCCCTACTCGATACTCACTACTCACTACACGCTACTCCCTACTCGCTACGCACTACTCACTACCCACTACCCACTACCCACTACTCACTACTCACTACCCACTTCGCGCTACTCTCTACTCATTATTCACTACTCATTAATCAGTACGCACTACTCGCTACTCACCACTACCTACTGTCTAGTCACTACGCACTACTCCCTACTCAATACTCACTACTACTACTCACTGCTCACTACTCACTACTCCCTACTCACTACTGCCTACGCAGTACTCACTACTTAGTAATCGTTACTCACTACTCTCTACTCACTACTCGTTAGGCACTACTGCTCACTAAAAAGCACTCACCATTCACTGTTCACTACTTTGCAATTCAGTATTCAACACACTATTCACGACCCACTGCTCTCCACTCCCTACGCCCGATGCCCTATTCGCTACTCGCTACCCACTACTCACTACGCACTACTCACTACTCACCATTCACTACGCACTACCCACTTCTCATTATTCACGACTTACTACACACTACTCCCTACTCCGTTCTCCCTACCCACCTTCTCCGTCGCAGAAAGGAGAAGCGGGAGAAGCCCCCTCCCCCCCTCCCCGGCCCCCTGTTCGGCCCAAAAGGGGGCAGGGGCTTGGGGGGGTTCGATATCGATACCCCCCCTCGCCTTTCAAGCGCGAAGGGGGGGAGAGGGGGGGGTCCGAAACCCCAACCCCCCTTCAAGGGGGGTGTGGGAGGGGGGGGTTCGGACCCCCCCCCCTAAGGGGGGAAGGGGGGGGGGGGGTCGAGAATCTCACCCCCCCTTTGAAGGGGGGGAGGGGGGTGGGGTGGGGTTCTGCGAGACCCCCCCCCCGAGACATCCCGTGTGCTCAGTACCACTTGCACGGCGCGTCGCAAGTACAAGGTGGTTCTTCTGGGCCGTTTCAGCTCACGCTTCCTCCTCCTCCTCCTCCTCCTCCTCCTCCTCCTCCTCCTCCTCCTCCTCCCCCTCCTCCTCCCCCCTGCGTCTTCCCTCATCCCTCGTACCCCCTACTTCTCTTCATCCCTCATCCCTCACCCTTCCGCACTCCCTCCCTCATCCATTTTTCCCTCATCCCTCATTTATCCCTCCTTCACCCTAATCCTCACCTCTCATCCCCATCGCTCCCTCATCCATGCCTCCCTCTCTCCTCCTTTCTCCCGCCCGCCGCCTCCGTCATCCCTCATCCTTTCCTTCCTCCATCTCGCCCTCTCTCATTCCGCATTCCTCCTTCCCTCATATCTCATCCCTCCCTCATTCCTCCCTCATCCTCGCTCGAGAAGTTGTACTGGGGACGCGGTCTCTGGGGAAACAGTTTTGGGGAGGAGTGTGCACATAGGAAACAGTTACAGGGAAGAGGGTCCGGGGAAACGGAGCGGTTCCGTGGAAACGGCTCCAGGGAAGCGAATCCGGGGAAGCGGTTCCGGGGAAACGGTTCTGGGGAAGCGGTTCTGGCAAAGCGGTTCCGGGGAAGCGGTCCTCCGGGGGAAGAGGTCTCTGGGGAAGAGGTCTCCAGTGAAACGGCCCTCCGGGGAAACGGTTCTGGGGAAGCGGTTCCGGGGAAACGGTTCCCAGGGAAACGGTTTACAGTGTATTGCCCCCGCCCCGCTCTTTCTGGTGCGTAGCGCAGTGGGGGTGAGCTGCTGGTGGGGTGTGTGCGTGTACAACGATCCTTTGTCCCAGCCCCGCAGGGCCCATTTCGATGTGATCGATCGGCTTCTATGCCGAGTTCGCCCCGCATCATCCGATTTGATCTCGATTTCCTGGCGACCTGGTGCGGCTCGACGCTTGAACAGCGTAGTTGCGCATCCGGGCGCAGCCAGTCCGCTTCGATTGCGACTCCATGCCGATGCGGCCCGATTCCCACCCCCGACTTCCTGATTTGCTCGTAGCGTGCATCCCTGGAGGTCTCGACCCATTCCCTGGGACCGTCTTTTCATCCTGAGCCGTTTCTGAAGGTTCTGGGGCCCGGCGAGGGCCCTCAGAGGCTGAAACCGGCGAAAAACCCTGCGCCATGATTTTTGTCACGACGTGAGGGGGTCTGGATTCGATGCTCGTTCCGTTCCGACCCCATGCGAGGCGTTCAGAAAGGGCTCCGCCTTCGAGGATCGAAGGAGTTCCTATCTCTTCCACGGCGGAAGGCGGAGGAAGGCGGTGGAAGGGGGGCGGAATGCGGACGAAGGCGGTGGAAGGGAGGCGGACGCAGGCGAGAGCAACACGAGGCCGCCTCCGCTGGCTGGCGGAAGCCTGCGGAAGGCCGGCGGAAGGTGGCAAGAGGTGCCCCGGAGATGTCCGCTGCTCGTGAGAGCGACCCTTCGCCGGAGTTCCCTTCGGTGCGGGCTCACTGGGGCTTCTCGATCGCCAGATGCGGTGCGGCAGCAGCGGCCTGCGCGCTGGAGTGTGTGTGTGTGTGTGTGTGTGTGTGTGTCCCGCGCGGCCCTCTTAAGCTGCGCACCCAAGGAGATCGCTGTTGCCCAGGGTCGCTCGCTCTGGCGTGTGCCCTGAGATCTGACGTAGCAGAAACACTGCAACATCGCAAACAACCACGCCCGGAACCCTAGACACCATCTCTCTGCGCCATTCCTCGAGCCGGACCGATTTGTGGGGGCCCCAGGGCTCGAAAAAAGGCGACAGCGCCCGGCTCGACAAAATTGGGAAGCCAGGATCTCAGGGCAGCCGAGGAGGGTGCTTCTTTTGAGCGCAGGACTCGTGGAGCTGGCCAATTCTTGGCCTGCTGCTGGCCGCGCCTGCCCCCCCAGCCCAGGAGCCGGAGGCCTACCCTGGCTCCGCGAGGCTGCGGGCGCTCACGCCCGAGGCCCTCGTTGGGGGGCGGCGACGACGACGACGACGACGACGACGCGCTCGACGACGACGACGACGACGACGACGACGACGACGACGACGACGACGACGACGACGACGACGACGACGACGACGACGACGACGACGACGACGACGACGACGACGACGACGACGACGACGACGACGACGACGACGACGACGACGACGACGACGACGACGACGACGACGACGACGACGTCGACGACGACGACGACGACGACGATGCGCACTGGCTTGGCTCTGACGGTGCGCGCGTCCACGGCGCGCCGAGCGACGCGCGCGGTCGCCGAGCCGAGGCCCCAGCGCGCACGCCGCCCCGGAAGACCGCCCCGCCCCGCCAGCTCCGCGCCTGGCACGGAACCTCCACAGGACACGGCACTGGCGGGGCTGGCCGGCCCAGGCGTTCAGCCTGCCCGCGCAGGTTTCTGATTCCTCCGCACGCCGAAGTTCGGGGAACGGAGATCGACGTGGACATCAAACCTCGGAGGTCCGCGCGGAGTTCTCGGATCCGCGCTGGGGCCCCCTGGCGGCGCCTCCAGCGCCGCCCCTGGCGCGCTCCGCGCGCCAGGGAGGGGGGTCCAGCGCCGATCCGAGCAATCCGCGCGGACCTCCGAGTTTCTGTGTTTATGTCATTCTGCGTTCCCCTGATCTCGGCCCTCCGCACGCCGAGACTGAGCTCAGGGCAGAGGCGCCGCGTGACACGGCGGGGTCTTCAGGCTGGCCCCGAACTCGCTGCTATCGGCCCCCCGCAGGAGCGCCGTCGAGGCCTCGGCCCTCCCTCTCGGCCACCACGCCCGCACGGTGGCGTCCTCGATCGACCCCTCGACCTCGCTCGTTCGTCACCTTGCGCGCTCGCCGCCGATGGAGGCAATGTCGCGCTCTCAAAAAAATCTTTCGCCTCCTGCTGTGTATTGGAGGCCCTCGGTGACAGACTGTGGGCTGCTTGAGGCTATCTTTGGCAACATCGCGCGGCTGGGACTGTCTTTGGGTTCCTTTCGTCCTTCGCTACTTCAGAGGATTCCTTTCCTCGGGTCTAGAGCTGACTTGTCAAGAGACGGCAAGGGGGCCGAAAGACGACCCCCGAATTCGTGCTTGTGGGCAGCCTCCGTGCGGTGGGTTGGTGGCCTCGGGAGCGCGAACGTGACGTACTTTGCAAAGGATTGTGGCCTCGGGAGCGCGACAGTTTTGTGAGTTCTTATAGGGTGTTGATTCGGGGTCGCGAATTTGTTACAATTTCTATTGGGTTCTGGCTTCGGGGGCGAGACCTTGTTGCAACTTACAGCAAGGCTTGTGGCCTCGGGAGTGCGAGTGTGTTGTACTTTGAATGCGGTGGTGGCCTCGGCGACGCCAACGTATTGTAAGTTGCAAGCTGCTGTGGCCTCGGGGGTGCGAACGCATCTGTAATTCACGCTGGATTGTGGCTTAGGGTGCGCGAGCATGTTTTCAATTTGACAAATTATAGTGGCCTCAGGAGCGCAAACATTCCGTAAGTTACATGGGACTCTGTCTTCGGGGGTGCGAGCGTGTCATTATTGGAACACGACCACGCGTCGATGTACGACGGTTTCTGATTTGGAAGCGCGAATGCGAATTGACTTATGAGGGTTGTGGCCCCTGGGGAGTTCGTGTGGTGTAATTTGCAGTGGGTTGTGGCCCCGGGAGGGCGCACCTCTTGCAATTTATGGGCCTGGCTCAGGGGGCTCGCAAGACTTGTAATTTGTCTGGGGCTGCAGTCCCGGAAGCACGAACCGCGTCGTAGTTTTATAAAAAGACTCTATGACCTCGGGAACGCGCACGTGTCGTGATGTATGTGTCCCAGGGCCTTTCTCTTCCCGCCCTTGCACGCTGGCCAATGCGCTTCTCGGTGCCCCCGTTTAGCTTTGTCGCTGGTGCAGCCAAATCCGCCTCGCGGCCGACGAAAAAAATGTGTCCCAGGGCCCCCCCTGAATTCTGAGGACGTGATTTTGAGGTTGTAGCGCGTTCCTTTCTGGCCAGGGAGGGCGCGCGTTTGTCAACCGTCCAACCATGGAGCGAGGAATCCAAAACTATCACTGATGACGCTTTCGCGCTGGAGCTGTTGCAGGGTGCAGTGGCCCAATCCAGCCTCGTGGCCCCTAAGGGAGCCAGCGGATAACATGTATTACAGGTCCTATTACGGGTGTCGAAGGCCTCGCAAATCCCACAGGTGTCGCAAGTCCCACGGGTCCCACAGATCCCACAGGTGCCGCAGGTCCGATCAACCCGCAGGTTCCCCAGATACACCAGTTCCCATGGGTCGGTCACCTTTGCTGCTGTTGGAGGGCTTCGTTGGGGTAGTCGTGCTTTCCTAGGATGGAGCTGCTGTGCCCCGCTCCAACCGTCCAGCGTTTCGTGCTTCGAGAGGAGGAGGAGGCAGAGGAGGAGGAGGAGGAGGAGGAGGAGGAGGAGGAGGAGGAGGAGGAGGAAGAGAAGGCGGAGGACGGGGAGCTGTAGCCACACTTGCATAAGCTCCCCAGTTCCAGCTCAGGTTCAGCTCCAGCTCAGCTCCAGCTCGAGCCGCAGATCCAGCCCGAGCCCAGCTCCAGCCCCAGCCCCATGAAACATGAACCCCAGTGAGCTCTTCGTTCCTGTTGAAACCGATGAACCCCGTATGCCGTTCAAACTCCATGGGACATGTGACCATGTGACCCTCATGGACAATACAAGCCTCGCGCGCCCTAGAGCCTTCGGGTGACCTTCTGGACCCGTGACGCCTGCCACCTCTAAAAGCTCTGGGGCCGCGCTGCCTCATTCCTCCATTCCCAATTGACGGCGATGGTGTTCGTAGTGCACCTCGCTGGCGCCATGCGACCAAGATTGCAACGGCGAAGCGTAGCGAGCCAGCAGTATTTGTATACAGTTATATGTATATATACAATATATCGCATTTACACATATGTATATATGTATGTACACTTACATTTACACATATCTACACATGTGTATATACACATGCATCCCTGCAGGAGTATATTTTTATATATATATATATATATGAATGAGGCGTTCCAAAATAATCTTGCCTTCGAGGATCGAAGGAGTTGTCATCTCTTCCTCGGCGGAAGGCGGCGGAAGGGCGGCGGAAGGTCGGCGGAAGTAAAACGAGGCCGCCTCCGCCAGCGGAAGCCAGCGGATGCCGGCGGAAGCTCGGCGGAAGGCGGCGGAAGTACAAGATGTGCCCCCAAAGAGATGAAAACAGTTTGGGGTTCAGGATTTCCGAAGTCGCCCGTTCCTATTCATATATTTCTATGGGGCTGTGGACCCTGGAAAAAGCGCCCCCCCCCCCCCTAAAAAAATTGGCCCACCCTGGGCCTCTCGGGCAACCCTTCAGACGACCCGGGAAAGGCCCACGAGAGCCCAAAGACGGCCCCAGAGGGCTCCAGGCGTTCCGGCGCGCTCTCGAAACGACCCCAGAGAGCCCCAAGACGGTCCACGACAACCCCACAGAAGCCGTCATACCTCCAAAGATCGCTCCAAAACGTCCCAAGAGGTCTCCAAGAGCACTCCCAAGAAGGCCCCAAGAGGCAACAATCATTGATTTTCCATTTGTTTTTGGTGAATGTTGCTGTTCTCCTTTTTTTGGTTTCCCGACTCTCCAAGACGGCGGTCTTTTGGGCGTCCGAAGCCGCCTGGGAGGCTCGAAAATCGCCCCACAACCATCCGAAAGGGCTTCCAGGCAGTCCAAGAGAACCTCAAGACGGCACAACAGGGTTCCAAGATGGCCCAAGAGAGCCCCATGACGGCCCAAGATGGCCCCAAGGCATCCTCCGAAGCATTCCAAATCGTGACCCGGTCGTTCAGGGAGACCGCGGTTGGAGGCAGGGTGGCCCGAGGAAGCCCCCAGGAGGCCTCCAAAAGGCTTTAAGACAGGTTGAAGCACTTGTGTGAGGCCCCCAGAGGCTCTCCAAGAAGGAGCCTCCGCAAAAAGAGCTGCGCAGGATGTGGAGAATACGCAGGGTATGGCGAGAATGAGAAACAAAAACATGGAGGAAGGATAACGAACAACAGTATTATAACGGCGATGCCGGAAAAGGCAACAAGGAATTTTCGCTAATTTCTTGGCTTGATTTTCTTGCCATTCCACTTGCATACCAAATTTCAAGGACCAAGGTGCATGGGGCGAAGCGCCAATGCAGTCTTACATCATATTTACATATATATATATATACATATATATATATATATATATATATATATATATATCGGCGCACCGGGCCCGGGGGCCCAGGGCCGGGACCCCGACACAAATGTGGGGCCCGGGGGCCCCGGCCCGCTCCTGGGAGGCCTACAAACCGCCCTGGGGAGCCCTCAGACAGCAATCCCGGCGACCCCAGACGGTCTCGAGACACCCCAGAAACGCCGTCCAGAGGTCTCTGGCGACGCACGATGCGTTTTAGACTGCCCCGGAGGCCCCGAAGACGCCCCGAGAGACCTTTAAGATGCCGCCCAAGAACGCCCCGAGAAGGTAAAATCGTCGATTCTCATTTTTCTTCGAATGTTTTTTGCATTCTCGCTGTTTCGTGTTTCCGGCGCTGAAGCTCCGCCCAAGGGGCTCCCAAAGCCGGTCCAAGACGGCCCCGTAGCCATTTTGGGTCAAGCTGCATACGGGCCATGCGGCCGCCGTCGGCTGCCCTGGCTGCGGGCGCGCCTGCTGCTTGGCCGATGGCTTTTGGAACACGTACTTGACACATATAGTGGCGAATGAAGAAGACGTGGCGTACAAGCTTGATCGCATTGGTCTCGATGGCCACGCCAGGGCTTGCGAGCAGGCTGGCAAGACCACCGCTGAGCTCTTTGATCTCGTCGATGCGAAGCGCGGGGCCTCCAAACACCAGCATCGCCAAAGAGACGCGTACAGCTGCGGCGGACACCAGCACAGGCTCGAAATCTGTACAAGATGCTCGTCTGGGCGGGACCGCCTGCCATTGCACCTGCGGCCACACGGTCGTCTGGCAGCGCGAGATCTTCGAGGGCGACGTCGTCAGCGAGAAGGAATACGAGTGCGAGGAGGTCTTGTGCCCCGCCGTGAGCATTCCAGGGCTCGTGGCCAGCGCGGAGTGCTCCTACGTGGAGGACGTCCGGGAACTCACCGGGGGCACCGTGTGCCGATGCCTCTGCGGCGACCAGGTTGCGTGGAGGGATCGTGCGTTCTATGGAGACGTCGTCGAGAGCCGCGAGCAGCAGTGCCTGGAGGAGGTCTGCCCAGTCGCCAACCCCGTGCCCGGCCTCCGCTTCGAGGCGCACTGCCGCTTCGTGCCGACGCTCTTCCAGGTGCGCGGCGTCCGCCCTGTCGCGGCGCCCGCCGCGCGGGGGGGCCGCGGCTCGGCGCCGCCGAAACGAGGCGGGGCTGTGCTGCTGCCGGCCCTGGCCCTGGCAGCGGCCCTCGCGGCGGCCCCATCGGCGTAGGCGGCCGTCCCCGCGGGCTGGCATCGCGCCCGCCGCGTACGGGCGGAAAAAAGCACGGTCCAAGACGGCCCAAGAGGCCCCCAATAGGGCCCCAAGACGGCCCAAGAGAGCCCCGAGACGGCCCCAGAGCCGCCCAAGACGGCCCAAGAGGGCCCCAACAAGGCCCCAAGAGGGGTCCAAGAGAGGGAACCCGAATTGACCAATCAAGCTCTCCGCCCCAAGATGCACCCAAGAGGCCCCAAGCGGCCCCCAGGAAGCCCCGAGAGGCCCCACGAGGCCCCCAAGAGACCGCACGATGCGTTTTGAATTGTCCCAGAGGCCCCCAAGATGCCCCAAGAGGCCTTCATGATGCTGCCCAAGAGCGCCCCGAGAGGGCAAGATCGTTGATTTTCACGTGTGTTTTCGATGTTGTTGCGTTCTCGTTGTTTCGTGTTTCCGGCGCTGAAGCACCTCCCAAGGGGCTCCCAAAGCCGGTCCAAGACGGCCCCGTAGCCATTTTGGGTCAAGCTGCATGCGGGCCATGCGGCCGCCGTCGGCTGCCCTGGCTGCGGGCGCGCCTGCTGCTTGGCCGATGGCTTTTGGAACACGTGCTTGACGCATATAGTGGCCCAGAGCCGCCCAAGACGGCGCAAGAGGGTCCCAAGAAGGCCCTAAGAGGGGCCCAAGAGAGGGATCGCGAATTGAAAAATCAAGCTCTCCGCCCCAAGAGGTGCCCCCAAGAGACCCCAAGAGGCCCCCAAGAAGCCCCCAAAGAGGCCCCAACAGGCCCCAAAGAGGCCCCAAGAGGCCCCCAAGAGGGCCCCAAGACGGCCCAAGAGAGCCCCGAGACGGCCCCAGAGCCGCCCAAGACGGCGCAAGAAGGTCCCAAGAAGGCCTCAAGAGGGACCCAAGAGAGGGAACGCAAACTGAAAAGTCAAGCTCTCCGCTCCAAGATGCCCCCAGGAGGCCCCAGGAGGCCCCAAGAGGCCCCCAGGAAGCCCCCAAGAGGCCTGATGGGGCCCCAAAAGGCCGCACGATGCGTTTTAATCTGCCCTGGAGGCTCCCAAAGACGCCCCAAGAGACCTTTAAGATGCCGCCCAAGAGCGCCCCGAGGGCACAATCGTTCATTTTCGCTGATTTTTCAAATGTTGTTTGCATTCTCGCTGTTTCATGTTTCCGGCGCTAAAGCGCTCCCCAAACCGGTGACAGACGGCCCAAGAGGCCCCCAAGAGGGCCCCGAGACGGCCCAAGAGAGCCCCGAGACGGCCCCAGAGCCGCCCAAGACGGCGCAAGAGGGTCCCAAGAAGGCCCTAAGAGGGGCCCAAGAGAGGGAACACGAATTGAATTACCCTGGCGACATACCCAACCCCTGCGCAAAAGCGGGGCGCAAATAGTTTAGGATACTTTATAAGGGGGCGATGACGGAGCGAGGGTTACATATGTCTGCAGACGGAATTCGGGAGACTCGCAGGACACTGGCTACAGGAAAAGGGCTTGATAAAGCTGATGATTTACAATTCCTGAGCACTCCTAGCCACTTCGAAAACGGGGATCACAGCAGGCCTCGAAAGTGGCGACAGGTTCACAGATCGCAGCCCCGCAGGGACGGCGAGGTCTCATTTGAATCTGCCCGTGGCCCTCACTGTGCTGGGCCCCCCAGCAGGCCTCGAAAATGGCGGCAGTTTCGCAGATCGCAGCCCCCCAGGGATGGCGAGGTCTAATTTGAATCCGCGCGTGGCCCTCACTGTGCTGGGCCCCCCAGCAGGCCTCGAAAGTGGCGACAGTTTCACAGATCGCAGCCCCCCAGGGAGGGCGAGGTCTAATTTGGATCTGCCGCGATTACCCTCTATGCTGGACCCCCCAGCAGGCCTCGAAACTGGCGACAGTTTCACAGATCGCAGCCCCCCCCCCAGGGATGGCGAGGTCTAATTTGAATCTGCCGCGATTACCCTCTATGCTGAGCCCCCCAGCAGTGTGGTCGCGTCCTTCCTCCTCCCGCCTCCCGCCTCTTTCCTGCCTCTTTCTGTCTTGCCTGCGGGGGGCTGTGAAACTGTCGCCAGTTTCGAGGCCTGCTGGGGGGTCCAGCATAGAGGGTAATCGCGGCAGATCCAAATTAGACCTCGCCATTCCTGGGGGGCTGCGATCTGTGAAACTGTCGCCACTTTCGAGGCCTGCTGGGGGGCTCAGCATAGAGGGTAATCGCGGCAGATTCAAATTAGACCTCGCCATCCCTGGGGGGGGGGGGGCTGCGATCTGTGAAACTGTCGCCACTTTCGAGGCCTGCTGGGGGGTCCAGCATAGAGGGTAATCGCGGCAGATCCAAACTAGACCTCGCCCTCCCTGGGGGGCTGCGATCTGTGAAACTGTCGCCACTTTCGAGGCCTGCTGGGGGGCCCAGCACAGTGAGGGTAACGCGGCAGATCCAAATTAGACCTCGCCCTCCCTGGGGGGCTGCGATCTGTGAAACTGCCGCCATTTTCGAGGCCTGCTGGGGGGCCCAGCACAGTGAGGGCCACGGGCAGATTCAAATGAGACCTCGCCGTCCCTGCGGGGCTGCGATCTGTGAACCTGTCGCCACTTTCGAGGCCTGCTGTGATCCCCGTTTTCGAAGTGGCTAGGAGTGCTCAGGAATTGTAAATCATCAGCTTTATCAAGCCCTTTTCCTGTAGCCAGTGTCCTGCGAGTCTCCCGAATTCCGTCTGCAGACATATGTAACCCTCGCTCCGTCATCGCCCCCTTATAAAGTATCCTAAACTATTTGCGCCCCGCTTTTGCGCAGGGGTTGGGTATGTCGCCAGGATCAGTCGGAACACATTAAGAAAGCTTCTGAAGCGAGAACCTCGAAAAAACAGGTTGTTCTATTTCCCAACCCTCCTTGGTTGGGTATTCGTTTTGAATAGAGCAGTGTGGTCGCGTCCTTCCTCCTCCCGCCTCCCGCCTCTTTCCTGCCTCTTTCTGTCTTGCCTGCGGGGGACTGTGAAACTGTCGCCAGTTTCGCAGATCGCAGCCCCCCAGGGATGGCGAGGTCTAATTTGAATCCGCGCGTGGCCCTCACTGTGCTGGGCCCCCCAGCAGGCCTCGAAAGTGGCGACAGTTTCACAGATCGCAGCCCCCCAGGGAGGGCGAGGTCTAATTTGGATCTGCCGCGATTACCCTCTATGCTGGACCCCCCAGCAGGCCTCGAAAGTGGCGACAGTTTCACAGATCGCAGCCCCCCCCCCCCAGGGATGGCGAGGTCTAATTTGAATCTGCCGCGATTGCCCTCTATGCTGAGCCCCCCAGCAGGCCTCGAAAGTGGCGACAGTTTCACAGATCGCAGCCCCCCAGGAATGGCGAGGTCTAATTTGGATCTGCCGCGATTGCCCTCTATGCTGGACCCCCCAGCAGGCCTCGAAACTGGCGACAGTTTCACAGCCCCCCGCAGGCAAGACAGAAAGAGGCAGGAAAGAGGCGGGAGGCGGGAGGAGGAAGGACGCGACCACACTGCTCTATTCAAAACGAATGCCCAACCAAGGAGGGTTGGGAAAAATCAAGCTCTCCGCCCCAAGAGGTGCCCCCAAGAGACCCCAAGAGGCCCCCAAGAAGCCCCCAAAGAGGCCCCAACAGGCCCCAAAGAGGCCCCAAGAGGCCCCCAAGAGGGCTCCAAGACGGCCCAAAAGAGCCCCGAGACGGCCCCAGAGCCGCCCAAGACGGCGCAAGAAGGTCCCAAGAAGGCCCCAAGAGGGGCACAAGAGAGGGAACGCGAACTGAAAAATCAAGCTCTCCGCCCCAAGAGGTGCCCAGGAAGCCCTAAGAGGCCCCCACGAGGCCCCCAAGAGGCCCCCAAGAAACCCACAAGAGGCTCCCCAAAGCCCCAAGACGGCACACAAAATGCTTCAAAACTCTTTCTAAAAGGCCCCGGAAGACGTGCCAAGAAGGTCCCATGACGACTTCAAGAAGTAGTCCAGCATGCTCCGCGGAGGCCCCAAGAGGCCCCCAAGAGAGCCCAAGAGGCCCCCAAGCAGCCTCGAGCAGCATCCAGGAGGCCGGAAAGAGGCCCCCAAGAGCCCAGCGGTCCAGGCGGGGGCCAAACGAACATTTCCAGCCCTTGGCTCCCGGAAGCCCAACAGGAAGCCCTAAGAGTTCGACCATCCAGCCTAGGTAAAACTTGAGCGCGCGCGAAGCGCGCGATGGTTCTAGTATGTATATACATATGTATAACACATGCATACATACATATTTACATATGTTTACATATATATATATATATATATACACATATATATACATATATATAGACAAGACTGCAGCGGCGCTTCGCGCCATGCGCCTTGTTCCAGACGCTTCCCCAGCAACGCAATAAACCATCGCTTGCTTCAGCAGGGGGGACCTCCAGGCCTGGACGGGCGACCGGCTCCTCATGGGAGGAGGTAGGGGAAAAAGTTGCGTCATGCTCTTCATCTGCCACCTCCAAGGTTTATCCCTACCCATCCCTTCCTCCTCATTTCCTCTTCTTGCGCCTCCTCTGGTGGTTGAGTGCATCCTTTGAGGAAGGAAGGAGCGTTCACATGATACGCCGGAGAAGTCGCAGCAGCTCCGAAGAAGTCGATTCTTTGTTGCTTCCTGAATGCCTGGAGGGCGCCAGGCAATCAGGAAATCTCCGATCGTCGAACTTCGAATCTAGATTCATTGCCTGTCTCAGCGTGGAGCGTGGAACCAAGATCTTCGGGTCAGCTCGATGTACTGCGTAGGAGAACGCCGTGTGGGCGTTTTGGGGGCCTTCTTTGGCCCTCTTGGGGGCCTCCCTCTTTGGGGGTCTCCCATGGCTTTCGTGGGTCTCTTTGGGGCAGTTTTGGGGCCTTCTTGTGCCGTCTTCAAACCCTCTGGGGGGCCTCTTGGGCCGTCTTGGGGCGATATCGCCGGCCCAGACGGTGCGAAGACCCAAAAAGCGGATACGCTAAACAACTGTTTCCAAAGGAATGGGACTGTGTTTCCTCGGGGCTCTCTAAGCGGATTCTTGGGGCGTTTTGGGGGCGTCTTGGGCCGTCTTCAGACCATCGAGGTTCCTCTTGGAGCGCTCTTGTGCTGTATTGGGTCTCTCGTGCGCATTTCCTATGACCCCTCTGATCGCCTTGAGTCTGCTCGCACGGCCCGACAAGGCGCCCTGGGAGGTTCGGAAGGGCCAGTGAACCTTTTCCAAGGGCGTCCAGGGGGGCCGCCGAGATGTCCGGAAGGGCGTCCAGGGCGTCCCTGGGAGGGGGTCCAGTTTAGGGGTGGGGTGGTGGAGGGGTTTCGGGTACAAAAACAGGAATAGGAATAGGAATAGGGATAGGAATAGGAATAGGAATAGGAATAGGAATAGGAATAGGAATAGGAATAGGAATAGGAATAGGTATAGGTATAGGGATAGGGATAGGAATATGAATAGGAATCGGACAACATATATTCCTCTTCGAATGTTCTTATATCGGAAAGCCGCGGTTGACCCCCCCCCCCCGTACATAAATTCGGCCCTGGGCGCTCCCATCGGCGGGAAATTCGGGTATTCGGTTCTGGAGGCCCCTCTCGGTCATCCCAAGCCGCCCTGGCGAGCTCAAGATCGCTCCCTGGACGGTCCCGCGGAGCACCGAAACGGCCCAAGACCGCTCCAACGCGCCCAAGATGGTCCCTGGACGGCCCAAAAGGCCCCCAAGATGCCCCACGAGAGCCCATAGGTCACCCCCAAGCGGGTCCCAGTAGCCAAAATACGTAAGTTTCCTATGGGTTTTTCATGATTTTCAACGTGCTCGCTTTCTCGACCTCTCGACCCCCCAAGATTGCCCCAAGACGCCGGAAGTGGTTCCCATGAGGGCCCCACAACGGCCCAAGAGGGCCCCAAGATGGCCCCAAGACGGCCCAAGACCACCCAAGAAGCCCCGCAAGACGGCCCAAGATGGCCCCAAGAAGGACCAACGGAACTGACCTTTCGAGCTCTTCCCCCAAATATGGCCCCAGAGCCGCCGAGGGGCCCCCCAAAGAGCCCTCCGAGGGTCTCAGAGAGCCCCAAGAGACCTCGACGACGCCTTCCCAGCCCAACAAATGAGCTCAAAAGCCCCCCCCCCCGGGAGGCCACACAGATGCTTCAATGAGGTCCCCCACCCGGCCCAAAGCACTTCCGCACGGCCCACGAGAGCCCCAAGACGGCCCAACAAAGAGCCGCCAGTGTCCCCAATGGCTCCCAAAAGCCCCCCAAGACGGCCACAGGAGGCCACAACAACACCTCACAGAGTTTCATGACGGCCGTGAGCCCTGTGAGCCCTACACGCCCCATCAGCCCTACGCTCCCTATGAGCCCTACGAGGCCTACGACCCCTACGAGCCCTACGAGCCCTCTGAGCCCCATGAGCCCCATGAGCCCTATGACACATCCGAGCCCCGTGAGACCTCCGACCCCTATGCGCCCTGTAAGCCCTATGAGCTCCGTGGCCCCTGTAAGCCCTACAGGCCCCAAGATCCCTGTGAGCCCTACCATCCCTACGGGCCCTATGAGCCCTACACGAGCCCTATGAGCCCCATGAGCCCTATGACACCTCCGAGCTCCATCACCCCTACGAGCCCCATGAGCCCTAAGAGCCTTATGAGCCCTACCAGCCCGACGACCCCTACGAGCCCTACGACCCCTGCGAGCCGTACGAGCCCTACAACTATGAGCCCAATGAGCCCTACAAGCCCTACGACCCATGTGAGCCTTACGAGCCCTATGAGCCCTAGGATGCCTACTCACCATTGGTGCATCGGCCTTCGTCGCGCGTCGCCCCTGTGCGAGATCGTAGGCGAGGGTCGGAGGGCTCTCGGATATCTGCTCGTGCTTTCTTTTATTGATGCTATCAGAAGCTTTCGGAGGCCGCTTAGGAATTATTCGGCAGCTGTTCAGAGCCCTCTGCGCATTTCGCAGGCGTTGCCAAAGGCATGCGTAGCGCCCCCCCCATGGTTCCAGCACGCATGCCTGGCCTAGCACGCGTGGGGGGAAGGTCATCCTTGCACACATCTCTCCTGCACCCCGGCCCGTCGTCGTCCCGGCACGTCGTCGTCCTCAGGACTGCAAGCATTTCGGATCGCCTTTCGAGGCGTACGACGTGCTGGCAGTGAGGCGTGGAGCTTGAGCCCACAGGCAAAAACATGTTTAAGGCCAGCTCCAGATCCCTCGGGAACCTCCCCGAGCCCGCCCGGACCGCAGAGGCACATCAGACGTGGTCGGGGCATTCGCGCCCTATGAGCCCTATGGGCCTAGCGAGCCCTGTGAGTCTTACGGGCCGTATGGGCCCCTGGGCCGTATGAGCCCTATGAGCCCTATGAGCCTTATGAGGCCTACGGCCCCCGCGGGCCCCACGACACCTTACGAGCATATATGGCCTTTGAGCCCTATGAGCCCTATGAACCCTACACGCCGTATGAGCCCTATGAGCCCCAGGAGCCCTATGAGCACGATGAGCCCTGCGGGCACCATGAGCCCTATGAACCCTACGGGCTCCCGGGCCGTATGGGCCCCATGAACCACAGGAGCCCCATGAGCACTATGAGCCCTACGGGCACCATGACCCCTATGAGCCCTACGGCCCCCGCGGGCCCTACGACAACCTACGAGCCATGTATGGCCTTTGAGCCCCATGAGCCCTATGAGCCCTACAGGCCGTATAAGCCTTATGAACCCTATGAGCCCCAGGAGCCCTATGAGCACTACGAGCCCTGCGGGCCCCAAGAGCCCTATGAGCCCTATGGGCCCTGCAGGCCGTGTGAGCCCTACAAGCCGTATGAGCCCCAGGAGCCCTATGAGCACTATGAGCCCCGCGGGCACCATGAGCCCTGTGAGCCCTATGGGCCGTACGATTCCTATAAGCCCAATGAGCCCTACGGGCCCGGAGGGCTCTACGAGCTTCATGGGCCACATGAGCCTTATGAGCCCTGTGAGCCCTATGAGAACCGTTGGCCTTATGAGCCCTATGAGCCCTATGAGCCCTGTGACCCTATCGGCCTTATGAGCCTTATGACTGCTGTGAGCCGCATGGGCCTCATGAGCCTGATGAGCCCTACAGGCCGTATGAGTCCTATGAGCCCTACGAGCCCCAGGAGCCCTATGAGCACTATGAGCCCCGCGGGCACCACGAGACCTATGAGCCCAATGAGCCCTGTGAGCCCTATGAGCCCTGTGAGCCCTATGAGCCCTAGAAGCCCTACGAGCCCTATGAGCCCTATGGAACCATGAGCCCCATGAGCCCTATGAGCACTGGAGCCCTGTGAGCCATATGAGCCCTACGACCCCTGTGAGCCTGACGAGCCCTGCGATCCCTGTGGCCCCATGAGACCCAATGAGCCCTATGAGCCTTCTGAGCCTCACGGACCTTACGAGCCCGATGATTCCCAAGAGCCTGACCTCACGGAACCCCAGGAGCCCTACAATGCCGATGAGTCCTATGACACCCATGACGACTTCCCGAATCGCACCGTGGCAGTGACGACTGCCAGTCCCATCGCGCCTCTCTGGCGCCATGCGACCAAGATTTCAAAGGCGAAGCGAAGCGAGCCGGTAAAATCTTGTGTATATATATATATATATATATATATATATACCGGTGGGTATTCACACACGCACGCCTGTTAATATATTTTGGATGGTTCGAGCACCCAGAAGTTAGGGTCCCCCACCAAAGCTGGACCTCCCGGATTCGTGGCCCTGGGCCCCCCTCGGACGCCCTTGCAGGCGCCAGTCGGGCAGGGCCAGGACGAGGACGAGTCCGCCCCAAAGCTCTCAGGAACGCCTTCGGAGGCGTGCCGCCTGGGCCGCGGCGCCCGAGGCGTCCTCCGGAGCAGCGGGCTCTCCGAGAGATCCTCGACGTGTTCTCGCCCGACGCTGTCCTCGCTCTGGCTCTCGAAGACCCCTCGGCCTGCCCTCGCCCGCTGCCGTCCTCGCCTCGGGCCGTGCTCCCACTGTCAGGAGTGGAAAAAACACACAGACACAATTAATCGGCGACTCCCAGAAAATATGGGAAAATATGGGAAGTGGGGGGGGGAGACAAAAACCCAGAAAATATGGGAAAATATGGGGAATATTTTTATTTGTGTGTATTTATTTGTGTGTCCTGGAGCCCCTTCAGCCTGTGTGGCCGCCGCCGCCCGCCCGTTGCCGCCCCGCCGCCGCTGCCGCCCCGCGCCCGCCGCCAGGGGGCCCGCCGCGCCTCGCCCGACCTCGACGCCTTCGACCGGGACATGCCCGAGCGGGAGGCCCGCCCCGAGGACGAGGACGAGGACGAGGACGACGAGGGCGACGACGAGGACGCCGACGACGACGAGGTCGACGAGGACGACAACGACGAAGTCGACGACGACGACGACAACGAGGACGACGACGACGAGGACGACGACGGCGGCAGACGAACGACGACCACGACGAGGACGACGACGACGAGGACCACGACGAGGGCCACGACGAGGGCCACGACGAGGACGACTTCGAGGACGGCCGGCGACGACGACGAGGAGGACAACGACGAGGAGGACGACGAACGACGACGAGGACGGCTACGACGACGACGAGGACGGCTACGACGACGATGACGAGGACGACGAGGACGAGGACGACGACGAGGACGACGAGGACGACGAGTACCAGGACGAGGACGAGGACGACTTCGACGAGGACGACGTCGGGAGGCCCGCCTGGGCGCGCGGGAGGATCTCGGGGATCAGGGCCTTACGACGACGAGGACGACGACGACGACGACGACGACGACTACGAGGACGACAACAACGACGAGGACGACTACGAGGACGACAACAACAACGACGATGACGACGACGACGACATATGACGACAACGACGGCGGCGGCGAGGACGACGACGAGGACGACGACGACGAACACAAGGACGATGACGACGACGAGGTCGACGAGGACGACAACGACGAAGTCGACGACGACGACGAAAACGAGGACGGCGACGACGACGAGGACGACGATGTCGACGACGAGGACGACGAGGACGACGACGACGACAACGAGGACGACGACGTCGACAGATGAGGACGAACACGACGAGGACGACGACGACCAGGACGACGACGACGATCACGAAGACGATGACGACGACGTCGGCGGCGACGACGACGATAACGACGACGAGGACGACGATGGCTTCGACGACGAGGACGACGACGAGGACGAGGACGACGACTGCGACGACGACGACGATGAGCACGACGACGACGAGGACGACAGCAGCGAGGACGACGGCGACGACTACGGCGACGACGACGAGGAGGACGACGACATTGGCAACGACGACGACGACGACGGCGCTGACGCCGAGGACGACGACGACGTCGACGACGACGACTACGAGGACTACGGCGACCATGACAAGGACGAATCGGACGAAAACGACGACGACTACGACGGCGACGAGGAGGATCACGACGACGACGAGGACAACGACGATGGCGAGGACGACGCCGACTACGAGGACGACGACAGCGAGGACGACGACAGAGAGGACGACGGCGACGGCTACGGCGACGACGACGACGAGGACGACGACGATTGCGACGACGACGATGACGACGATGAGGACGACCACGACGACGACAGGCGACGCCGACGACGAGGACGACGACAACGACGAGGACGACTACGAGGACGGCGACGACGACGAGGACGACGACGAACGACGACGACGACGAGGACGACAGCAACGACGGCTACGATCACGACGACGAGGAGGACGACGAGGACTACGACGACGATGACGAGGACGACGACGGCGACGAAAAGGATGACGATGACGACGACGACGAGGACGACGACGGCGACGAAAAGGGTGACGATGACGACGACGACGAGGACGACGACGGCGACGAAAAGGACGACGATGACGACGACGACGAGGACGACGACGGCGACGGCGACGACAACGACGGGGACGCCGACGAGGACGACAATGAGGGCGACACCGATGACGACGACGACGACGAGTACGACGACAAGGACGACGAAGACGACGAGGACGACGACGACGACGAGGACGCTCACGACGACGACGAGGACGACGATGACGAGATCGACGACGACGACAGACGACGACCACGACGAGGACGACGACGACGAGGACGGTTACGACGTCCTACGACGACGACGACGAGGACGACCACGACGACGAAACGACGACGACGACGTCTACGACTATGACGACGAGGACGACGACGACGAGGACGACGACGGTCACAACAACGGTGACGGCGACGACGACGACGAGAACAACGACGACGACGAGGATGACCACGACGAGGACGACAACGACGAGGGCGACGACGTCGAGGACGTTGACGGAACCCTCGTTGCATGTCAGACAGATATACAGGGGGCTGCACGAAATACTTCTTGCACGTAAGAAAGATTCATTCTCCCAAGGTGGTACGATCGAAGACGACGAGGGTGGGTATCGAGGGTTTGGGATATTAGTGTCGAGTGGCCCGCGAGCAGATAAGATAAGAGCGAACAGTCGTAAAATGACTGCTGATGTCGTCGTCGTTGTCGTCGTCGTCATCGTCGTCGTCGTCGTTGTTGTTGTTGATGTTGTTGTTGGCGACGCCGTGTTTCAGAGGCCTCCCTGAGGGAGGGGGGGGGGCGCACCGTACCGGGCGCACCGCACCGCACGCACCGCCTCGCACCGCACCGCGGGGAATCCTTAGGCATTATAAGGAAGCCCTAGGGAATCCTTAGGACTCCCTAGGGAATCCCTAGGGTGTCCTACAGAATCCTTCGGAATCCCTAGGGAATCCCTAGGGGATCCTGGGGAATCCCTAGGGAACCCTACGGGATCCCCACGGAATTCTTAGGAATCCTAAGGGGCTAGGGAATCCTGAGGAATCCCTCGGGTGTTCTACGGAATCTTCAGGATCCCTGGGGAATCCTTGCGGATTCCTGGGCGCCATATTGACAATAAATATCAGATCCTCTGTTTCTCTCCCGTCCCCCCTCCCCCTCTTCCCCGTCCTCGTTCTCCTCCTCCTCCTCCTCCTCCTCCTCTTTCTCCTCCTCGTCCTCCGGCCCCTCCGCGTGGAGAGGCAGGATGTGGGCATCGGCGGGAGGATTCTTGACGCGATCGTCGGTTCGGTCTCCGCTGTGCAGGCCGTGGACCTCCCTCCTGAAGGATTCGCTGAGCATTGATGTGGGTTTGTCGCCGCTCCGTTTGTTCCGACGCGCGGCCTTGCGTCTTGGGGAGGGCGTCGCGTTCGCCAGGGCAAACGCCGCTTCGGCCGCGGTGGGCTTGCCGTGGGTTTGCCGCGGTGCCAGCTTCGTCTCCTTGGGCGCGGGGCGCAGGGTTTGCCTTGGGTTTGTTGATTCAAGGTTAGATTAGGATGATGATGATGACGAGGATGAACATGATGATGCTGACAATGGTGATGGTGATGAACATGATGATCATGATTGTGATACTGACCATGGCGATGATTCTGATATTGATGATTATTCTTATGATGTTGACAATGATGACTGTAATGGTGATGCCGATGATGGTGATGATGCGACTATGCTGACGACTGCCATGATGATGTAGACGACCATGACCAAGACGATGAAACGCGTGTTTTTCATGACTGTGATGATGATGCTCAACATGCGGGTGGCTGTGATGATTATGCTGATGAGTATGATGATGAGGATGATGATTTTCCAACCCCTTCCCCTATTCGATGTTGGAACCTGTATGTCGCATGTCGCCCTCGCCTGAGGAGACGGACGGGGAGGATGATGAGGCTGAAGAGGATGATTGTGGAGAGGGACGATGATGAGAATGATGATGCCTAGGATGGTAAGGGCAATACTGATGCGGCCGAGGATGACAAAGATAATGATGGAGAGGATGATGAGGAGTATGGCGATCATCTATACGAGGATAAGAAGAATGGGGAGGGCAATGATGAGGATGATGGGGATGATGGGGATTACTCTGATGCACATACGTATGATGAGTATTCTTATGTTCGCAGTGTTGAGTGCGATCCCCCTCCTTGTCCTCCATCCTCCTCCCTCTCCCCTTCTGCCTCCGGCTCGATCAGCTGCCCTCTTCTCCCCCCTGTGCCTCCTTGTCGTCCTCCTCCCCTCTCTCCCCCCGTTCTCTCCCGTCATCCGTGTTCTGTCCCCTCCACGGGGAGGGAGGGGGAATCGATGATACTAACGATGATGATGGTAATGGTAATGGTGATGAAGCTGAAAATGGCGATGCTGATTAGGCTGACGTCGATGGTGAAAATGATAGTGGCGATAATGTTAGTGCTGACGATGGTGATGAACCTGATGACTGTGATGACGATGATGATGATGGTGGTACTGGTGGCGACGATAATGCTGATGCTGCCTACGATTGTTGATGATGATGACGGTGGTGGTACTGGTGACGGCGTTAATCACGATGCTGACTACGATGATGATGATGATTATGATGATGATGATGATGATGATGATGATGATGATGGTGATGATGATGGTGATGATGATGGTGGTGGTACTGGTGACGACGATAAGGATGATGCTGACTACGTTGGTGATGCTTTCTAGGATGACGGCCATGACGATGATGCTGGTATTGGCTGTGATGGTGTGGTCGTGACGATGATGCTAATGATGATGGTGATGACGATAACGATCATTATGATGCTGGTGATGACGATGATGATCGTTATGATGATTGTGATGACGATGATGATAATTATGGTGATGGTGATGCTGATGGTGATGGTATGGCTGATCATACACCGCTAATAGCATTCTATTTGGAGTGGGTACACGTCAGATAGGGTTCTCTTAGGAGTGGATGCACCTCTAATCGGATTCTATTAGGGATGGATACACTTCTACTAGGATTCTAGTAGGGGTGGATGCACCCCTAATCGGGTTCTATCAGGGGTGGATGCACCTCTAGTAGGTTTCTCGTAGGTGTGGATGCACATCTAGTAGGATTCTATCAGGGGTGGATACACCCCCACTAGGATTCTATTTGGGGTATACACTTGTACTCGGATTTTATCAGGGGTGGATACACGTCTCATAGGATTCTATCAGGGGTGGATACACCTTCAATCGAGTTCTTCTCGGGGTGGATACGCGTCTAGTAGAATTTTTTTAGGGGTGGATGTGCTTCTAACAGGATTCTATTGGGGGTGGATACGCTCCTAATAGGATGTCCAGGGTTGGATACACCTCTAGTCGAATTCTGTTTGAGGTGGATGCACCTTTAGTAAGATTCTGTGAGGAGTGAATAGGAGTGAATACACCTCTAGTAGGTTTTTATTCGGGGTGGACACACCTTTTATAGGAGTCTATTCGAGGTGGATGCACCTCTAATCGGATTATTAGATGTGGAAACACCTCTAATCGGATTCTATTAGAGGTGGATGCGCCGATCGTGGGATTCTATTCGAGGTGGGTACACTTCTACAAGGATTTTACAAGCGTTGTATCCACCTCCACACCTCTACAGGGGTTCTATTAGAGGTGAATCCACTTCTGATCTGATTCTATTCGAGGTGGAGGAACGTCTAATCGGATTTTATTGGAGGGGGATGCACCTCTAATCGGATCCCATTCGAGGTGTATGCACCTTCACACTTGCAATCGGATTTCAGGAAATGTCGATGCACCTCTAGTCGGATTTTATTGGAGGTGGATGCACCTCTAATCGGATTTCATTAGAGGTGGATGCACCTCTAATAGGATCCTATTCGAGGTGGGTGCACCTCTACTGTGATTATATTTGGGTGGATACTTCTAATCGGATTCTAGTAGAGGTGGATGCACCTTGAATAGGATTCTATTCGAGGTGGATGCAGTTCTAATAGGATTCTGTGAGGGGTGGATACACCTCTGATAGGATCCATTCGGGTTGGATGCGCTTCTAATAGGATTGTATTACAGGTGCGGGCGTGCGGTGCTGTGTGGTGCCCCCCCCCTTATCCAAGCCCCGAGGGGGCCTCTGAATGCAGGTGTTCTTTCTGTGGGGACGACGGGTAAACGAGGCCCTGGGCATGGGGCCCAGAAGGCCGGTGTTGCCTTGTTGTTGTTGTTGCTGTTGCTGCTGCTGTTGTCGCTGTTGTTGAGTGTTAAGTATTAAAGAATTATTCAATCGCTTCGCTCATTCCGTCGTCCCACGTTGCGTACCGCGGTCGACTGGCTGAGTGGTCGTCGGCAGTGCGGAGCTGCAGGGGGCGGCGTTTTTTTTTCTGAGGCGTTGTGTTCGGCATGTTTGTGTTGAAGCGGCCCCCGTGGAACAGCTTCGTGTCGATTCGTAGCGATCCTCCAGGAGTGTATTTGTTATCGCCAAGAATGAGCTGAACTTGCCCTGCAGCGATCTTTGGGGCCTCTTGGGGGTATTTTTTCGGCCTCTTGGAGGCCTCTTGGGGGCCTCTTGGGAGCCTCTTGGGGTTCCGTGGCGGCGTCTTGTGGGCCCCTGCAGCCTCTTGGGGGACTCTTGGGGACCTCTTGGGTCAGGAGGGGGGGTAGTCGATTGCGCCCCCCTCGGAGGCCACGATCCTCGTGAGGGATGTCGAAAAATTGTCCGGTCTGGCATCTCTGATCCGAGTGTCCCGGGGGTGTCCCGGGGGTTCTCCGGGGGTATTTTGTGTCCGGGGACCCCCAGGGGCGGCCCCGCGCGCGCGAATTAGAATATTGTTAACCACTTGCCGGAGATCTTAGCATGCCCTTGGCCCGTTGGGCCGGCGAATTATTGTTGGACCCCCCTTCAGACGCCCTGGCGCTCTCGCCTCGGCGCCGGCTACGAGCGGTTTGGAGGGGCGCCAAAACGGGCCCCCAAACAACAACAACAACACCACCACCACCAACAACAACAACAACCACCACCACCACCACAACAACAACAACAACAGCAACAGCAACAGCAACAGCAACAGCAACAGCAACAGCAACAACAACAACAACAGCAACAACAACAACACCACCAACAACAATAACAATAACAACAGCAACAGCAACAGCATCAACAACAACAACAACGCTCCCGCTCGAGACCTCCTCACTTCTTATTCAGAGCCGGTGCTCTTGCTCGCCGCCGAAAGCCGCCGCCCAAACAAAATCAACGCTCCCACTCAAGATTTCTTCTTGTTTGATATTGGACTGGCGCGTTTCTTTTTCTGTCATCGGCGCCGCCCCCAGCAACAATAACGCTCCCGCTCGAGGCTCCTTCTCTTTTTAGTTAGAGCCGGTGCTCTTGCTCGCCGCCGAAAACCGCCGCCCCAACAAAACCAGCGCTCCCGCCCGAGACTTCCTCCTGTTTTACGCTGGACTGGCGCCCTACGCTCTTTTCAGTGGGCGCCGCTCCCAGCAAAAACAGCGCTTCCGCTCGAGGCTTCCTCCCTTTTTTACTCAAGGCGGAGCTCCTCTTCGCCGCCGAAAACCGTCGTCCCGACAAAACCAGCGCTTCCGCCCGAGACTTCCTCCCGTTTTACTTTCGACTGGCGCGCTTCTTTTTCTCTCATCGGCGCCGCCCCCAGCAACAACAACGCTCCCGCTCGAGGCTTCCTCTTTGTTTTTGCTCAAGGCGGTGTTCCTCCTCGCCGCCGAAAACCGCCGCCCCAACAAAACCAGCGCAGCGCTCCCGCCCGAGACTTCCTCCCGTTTTACGCTGGACAGGCGCCCTACGCTCTTTTCAGTGGGCGCCGCTCCCAGCAAAAACAGCGCTTCCGCTCGAGGCTTCCTCCCTTTTTACTCAAGGCGGAGCTCCTCTTCGCCGCCGAAAACCGTCGTCCCGACAAAACCAGCGCTTCCGCCCGAGACTTCCTCCCGTTTTACTTTCGACTGGCGCGCTTCTTTTTCTCTCATCGGCGCCGCCCCCAGCAACAACAACGCTCCCGCTCGAGGCTTCCTCCTTGTTTTTACCCAAGGCGGTATTCCTCCTCGCCGCCGAAAACCGCTGCCCCAACAAAACCAGCGCTCCCGCCCGAGACTTCCTCCCGTTTTACGCTGGACTGGCGCCCTACGCTCTTTTCGGTGGGCGCCGCTCCCAGCAAAAACAACGCTTCCGCTCGAGTTTTTTTTTTCTCCCTCAGGACGATGCTGTTCCTCGCGCCGACAGCCCCCGTCCGGACAAAACCACGGCTCCCGCTTAAGACTTCCCCCCTTCTTACTCAAGGCGGTGTCCCTCCTCGCCGCCGACAACCGCCGTCCCAATAAAACCAGCGCTCCCGCTCGAGACTTCGTTCTGTTTTATTTTACGTTGGACTAGCGCCGTACTGTCTTCAGCATTGGCGCCGCCCCCAGCAACACCAGCGGCCCTGCTCGAGCCTTCCTCCCTTTCTGTTCAGGGCCAGGTCCTTGCCTCGTCGCCGAGAGCCCCCATCTCCACCAAGGCAATCCTGTCGCTCGATGCTTCCTTGTGCTTTACCCTGTCTGGGGCTCCACTGGCGGTCTCGCATCGGCGCAGCAAGGCGCGGTCATGTGTTTTCGAGGCGGGATATGTAGAAATTCCTCGGAGGTGTTTGCATGACCTCATTGGGCGGGAGATCTGGGAATATCGGACCCCCGTGATAGAACAATAATCCCCCATGATGGGGGTGGTTGTCATGATGGTCGCATGCTGCGTGTGGAAGCATCGCGCATGAGGGTAAACTGATTGTTGCTGTTGTTGTTGTTGTTGTTGTTGTTGTTGTTGTTGTTGTTGTTGTTGTTGTTGTTGTTGTCGTTCTCGCCCGCGACCCAACCCGCGACCCAACCCGCGACCCATCCCGCGCCCCACCCGCGACCCACCCGCGACCCACCCGCGCCCGCCCCCTCACTCATCTCCGCAACTGCGGCGTGCTACATTTCATTCGTACAATCCCAGTGTTTTTCCTCCAATCTCGGCCGCCAGGGGCCACTCGTCGGGCCGCGGGGCCATCGGCAACGGCCTCCCTGGACGAAGGCGCTGCCCCCGGGGACACCGCCGGAGCCGCGGCCGCGGATCAAAACACCACATCGCTGGACGTGACGGCATGCGAAGGCCGCCCCCAGGTGGGCGCACCCCCCCGTTCGGCGGCGAGCCCGCGGGGGGGAAGTGAGAGGGGGCGGGCCTTCTGGGAAGGCTCGGCAGTTCTCGGGCCCTCTGAACGGCTTTCTGAGCCCTCCCCGAAGAGGCAGAAGACTTCTGGGAAGGCCGGAGGGCTCCCGAGAAGCCCCTTTTGCCCTCTGAGGGGGCCCCTTCTCCTCCTCGCTCGCCACCCTCGCTCGCCGCCGACCCTTCTGCGCGCCGCCGAGAGGTGCCGAGCAGCTCCGGCGGCAGGCGAAGCGCCCGCTCCATCGGGGCCATGTCGATCTGACCGCTCGCCACGCCCCCTTGGGAGCCTCCCTGCCCCCCGGCCCGTGCGAGAGGGAGAGAGGGCGCGGAGCGCCGGGCTCGAGCTTTGCTGGACCTGCGACGCCTCTCCTGGCACCCCTGTGCCCAGACCCCCTCGCGTCGCGAGAAGATCCTGGCGCGAGGCTTTCCTTTCTTCATTTTGGGCGTCCAGGGGCCCTGAGGAGGCCTCGAGGCCGTCGAAAAGCGGTGCAGGGTGAAACGCCGGTCCCCGAGAGGTGGTCCGGAGCTCTGGGGACAGAGACATGCGACGCCTTGATTTTGGAAGGAGCGTGCTCTGCGGAAAACTGGGGGGGGTCATGGGGGGTTCCCAACCCGTCCCCCTTCCCCCCTCGAAAACCGAGGGGGGTCACTACGGGTTCAACCCCCCCCCTCCCCTCAGCCCATCATGAAAAGGGGGGAGGTCACTACCGGTTCGACCCCCCCCCCTTCGCAAACCCGGGGGGCGTCACTACCAGTTCGAACCCCGTCCTCCCTCGTCGCCGGCAAACGATTCCCGCGGACAGTTGGACAGTTGTGGGGATACTGGGACACTGGTGGGGAAGGTGGTGGTGGGGACAGTGGTGTGGGGACACTGGGACAGCAGTGCGGGCAGTGGTGGGGACGGTGGTGGTGGGGACAGTGGTGAGGGGACAGCGGGACAGTGGTGGGGACAGTGGGACAGTGGTGGGGACCGTAGTGGTGGGCACAGCGGTGAAGGCGGTGGTGAGGACGGTGGTGGGACAGTAGTACTGTGGGGAGAGTGGTGGGGACAGTGGGGACAGTGGGACAGTGGTGGGGACAGTGGAGACAGTGGGACAGCAAAGTGGGACAGCAGCGGGGACTGGGGACAGTGGGACAGTGGTGGGAACAGTGGGGACAGTGGGACAGTGGTTGGGACCGTGGGGAAAGTGGGGAGAGTGGGACCGTGGTGGGACAGTGGTGGGCAGAGTGGGGACAGTGAGACACTGGTGGGGGCACTGGTGGGGACAGCGGGAACAATGGTGGGAACAGTGGGGACAGTGGGACAGTGGTGGGGACTGTGGGACAGTGGTGGGGACGGTGGTGGTGGGGACAGTGGTGTGGAGACAGTGGAAATGTGGTGGGGACAGTGGGACAGTGGTGGTGACAGTGGTGGTGGGGACAGTGGTGAGGACGGTGGTGGGACAATGGGACAGAGGTACAGTGGGGACAGTGGGACAGTGGGACAGTGGTGGGGACCGTGGGGAAAGTGGGGAGAGTGGGACCGTGGTGGGAACAGTGGTGGGGACAGTGGGGACAGTGCGACAGTGGTGGGGGCACTGGTGGGGTCAGTGGGGACGGTGGTGGTAACAGTGGGGACACTTTGGACAGCGTGACGTTCCCACTACGAGAATCAAGGGACGTCCTGGGGTTCCAGGGTTGGGTTTCTGGTGCAAGGTTTTTTGTGGTCGAGCCCCTACTGTATTACGCGGGGTGTGGAGTTCCCGCATGTGGCCCTCCTCTTTCTCCTCCTCCGCGGGCGTCTGATGTCTCGAGAAAATCCGAGGCGGCTGGTTGGTCGTCATCTCTTCGGCCTCTGGGGGCCGGTCATTCGGGCCTCCCGGGGCCGCAGAGAACGGTTCGGGATGGAAAGCCGGCCCGCGGGGAAGGCGTCGAGATGTCGGGGGCTTGGGGGGGCCCATGCGCGGAATGTCTCGGTCCTTCTCCCCAACCTCGAGCCTCGATCCCCGCGCTTCGACCCTCCTGCTGCTGCTGCTGCTGCTGCTGCTGCTGCTCCTGCTCAGCCTCGATCCTCCTGCCGCCCCCTCCCCAAGCCCAGACCACAGATGATCTTGTCGGCCTCGATGGTCCCGTGTCGGGCTCCTCGGCCGCCGCAAGCGGGTCCGGGACGAAGCGGCACCCCCTGGAGAAGGGGTCGAGTTCTCTGGGGCCGCGGGTTAAACACAGGTTTTTGATGTTTTGCGGGTAAAAAGTCATGGACAAAACAACAAACATGAAACAACAAAGTTTAACGAATCCTCTGGGGCCGCGGGCTGAACACGACACACCGTCGGATGTCCACGGCTGTTGCTCCTGCTGCTCCTGCTCCTCCCAGTCTCGGGCGTTGCCAGGGGTGTCCCTGAGCCAGGGTGGCCCCAGTTTCTCCGGGGAGGCCCAGGCGGATTCCAGAGCATCCCTCTCGAGGCCCCAGGGGCGCAGGGGTTCGGATGGCGCGACGAACAGTGGGCGTCTCAGGCCAGGACCACCTCTTGGCAACCCTCGACCTGCCACTGCACCCCCCTGCAGGTCCGATCGACGCTGGGTTGTCGGACAACCCCGCTTGGGTTTCAGAGATCTAACGTGCCGTGGTAGGGTTCACGTGTGGTGGGTTGAATTCGGCAGCCAACCTGGAGGGGAAGCGAGAGGGGGCTGGCCTTCACAGGAGGCTCGGAAATTCTCGGGGGTTTCTGAGAGGTTTTCTGAGCCTTCCCCCAAAGACGCGGAGGGCCTCTGAGAAGCCCTGCCGCCTTCCGAGAGGGCCTTCTCCTTCCTCCTGCTCATTCCCCCCTCTCGCGTCGGCGGCACCCCCCAAACATACTGATACTGCGTCTGCGTCGCCCCCCCCCCAGGGTTAAGTCGGGCGCGTCCCCCTACAGGGGGATTTTCGACGACAAAACATACCCCAAAAAGGTCAAAACATATTCAAAAAATAGTCCCCAGACTATTTTTGGATTATTTTTGGACCATTTTGGGGGTATTGTTTATTTTTCGTCGAAAATCCCCCTGTAGGGGGACAGGCCCGACTTAACCCCAGGGGCAACGCGCGCACCGAGAGAGCCTCTAGTATATGCACCAGAGAACCTCTTCGGGAAACGAGGTACTACAAGATGGGTGTGCCATACGGTCGGGTCGGACGCGCGCATCCAAGGAGAACATGTGAGGCGCTCCAGACCAAGGCCTTGCCTTCGAGGATCGAAGGGGTCGTCATCTCTTCCTCGGCGGAAGGAGGCGGCGGAAGGGCGGCGGAAGGTCGGCGGGAGTAGAACGAGGCCTGCGGAAGCTTGCGGAAGCTCGGCGGAAGGCAGCTGAAGTAAAAGATGCGCCTTCCAAGAGACGAAAACGTTTCAAGGCTCATGGTTTCCGAACTCCGCCATATAGTGCCAGCATGTCTTTGTGGGTCCCCTCGCTCGCCGCCGATAGTATCACGCCCAAGCCTCCAAAATCTTGACCACAATCAGGGCGGATCTGCCCCCTGGCGAGCTCGCAGGTCTTGGGGGCGGCTTGCGGCCTCCCGGCTCGTCCACGGACGGCTCGGCAGGAGAAGAGTCGGCCCCCGGGGAAGGCTACAAATCTCTCCAGGGACCACGCACCGAGAAAACGAAGCACGACGTCGGAGGTGTGGGTCCTCCTTCTCCTCTTCCTCCTCCTCCTCGTGATGTCCGAGGTTCGAGGGTCGAGGGTTCCAGTCATCGTTCACGTCTTGATGCTCTTTCGGTCGACGGAGGCATCCCTGGACTCCCTGCGGCTTCCAGGGACCCCGGGTGACATCCGGGGAGGTTCCTTTCTCCTGCCTCGGGCGGGTGGTAATGGGGGTTGACGCGGCGAAGAAAATGGCCCTAAAGGGTTCCTTTAGGGCTCCTTTTCGGCACTCGCTGGCTCCAAGGGGCCCTGAAGGGCCCCTTTAGTGTCCTTGTCTTCACCCCTCGTGTGGGCCCCCCCCCATTGCCACCCGCTCGCCTGCCTCTTCTCCTCGGCGGCCACCAAAGTGGATTCGGGGCGGCCGCACGGCTCTGGGGCTCGGGCTGTTCTCCGAGGACGTCTTGGGCGGCTGGGGCCCTCCAGGTCCCAAAACCGGTGCGGCGGCCGGCCGTGCTGAGTTTTTTTTTTTTTTTTGTTTGGATCGTTTTGGGGGTCACCACGGTCTGGCGCCGCATTGTTGTGGGACCCCAGTCTCAATCCTTTCTATCTTTCCTCCTTCTTCCTCTGGGAGGCTGGCTCAGATCCTCCTTCTCAAAGGAGATGAGAGAGATAGCTGCTTCACCCCCTCCGCGAAGCCGAGGGCGTGCGAATGCGACTCGTCCGCGCGGCCTGGGTCGCGGGACTTCGCTGCCCAGGTCAGGCTGTGACTGCACGAGCGTTTCACTTTCATCCAGGTAGAGGGTGCAAGTTTTTGTGCGAGGTGATTTCTTCCACACTGTTTCACCCGACTTGCCAGAGCCATGGTCGCTTCGTCGTCCCAGTGGCCAGGGGGCCCAACCCAGCATCCCCACTCCAGGCAAAGCAAGCAACGACGCTCTCTTGTTCCGATCCTGTTTCCCATGCGGTTGGATGTTGCTGCGTGTTGCTTGCTGCTTGGCCAGTTGTTGGCCTCCTGCACCTTTGATGGCTAAGCGACCGTGGCTCCGTATCCGCAGACCACGTGCAGTAGATCTGTAACTAACGCCGTTGGCTTGCGGCTGCCTCGAGAAATTGCGATGGCGGGCTGCAATTTGCGGATTTCTGCCTCCAGGGGCCCTTGCCGGGTTCTGGGGCTGTCGAAAACGGGTCTCGGTCAGAACCCAGCCTGGGGCAAGATGTCCAGACCTTGGGGGTCTACGCTGTCAAGAAGTGACGACGTCGGGGATCTGGGGAGGTGAAGCCGATGGAGGCAAGTGGCGAGGTAAATGACGAGACATTTGTCGAAGCCATCCGTTGGTATGGTACCTGGGCGAGGAAGTAGTTTGTGCTGCAGGGCCAGGCCTGCCCCCCGCCCCCGACGGATACGGCATGCGTCGGCGAAGCAGGACGCAGACAGAGCCGGCGCGCAGTCATGCGCTGCAGTATCGGCGCGGGTACGCACCAGCCTAGAGATCCGACGCTCCGAAAAAGTTGGAACGGCCGGTTTTTGGCCGTTTTCGGCCTCGGGGGGCCCTCGCTGGGCCTCCGGAGCGTCCAGAACCGATTCCGGACGGCACACCAGCTCCAGGGAGGCGGTCCGGCCTCCCAGGGCCCACGCAGCGAAAACATCGGAGCAGCCCGGAGTGC